GCGTCTGGCTGAAGGCGGGGCTGAAGGAAGCCCCGGAAGGCTGGCAGGCCCCCAAGATCTACCAGCGGGGCAGATGAGCCTGGCACCGCCCTCCCGCCCGCTGCTGCTGTGATCCGTGGTAATAAATGCTCGGAGTACTCAGCCGTCAAAAAAAAAAAAAAAAACATTTCATTTTTTTTTTCTTCTAGCTTTTTATTTATTCAAGTAGAATCCAATATGAAAATGAAATAAGCATAAACAGTTAAATTTATACTAACCCTTTAATCAGCTAAGCAGGCCAGAATTTTTTAATGCTGGGCGGGCAAGGGCTGTCATGAAGATTTATGAAAGCAGTGACAAAATAATTTCCCAATAAATGCAGTGCAGATGGGGAAAATGACAACTGGGTCATCCTCCCACAGAGAAAGAATAACAAGAGGCCAGTACCTTGATCCCACATATAATTTTCAGTAAATGAGGTTCAGTTTGGTCTCAATGAACTCTTCTGAGAAGAAAATATTGAATTTTATTAGGTGTACACAGAGTTAACAAATATATTCCCAAACAGTTTAGTATGAAACATTTTGAAACCCTTTAGATCCAATATTGAACGTTTTGCATGGACTCTTCACTGTGTAGTCAACTGTTCCTGGCCTTTCTTGGTAGTAGTCTTACCTAAGCTTAGAGTTCAAACAGTATTAAATTAAAAAGGAAATTAAGAATGCAAAATAAATTAAAAGGTAATTAATTAATAAACAAACAGAATGCACCAAAATCCTAATGGATGAATATGTTGGTTTGCCTTTATTTTCATCTAGGATAATTCAACAGACTGTATTCTGAGATCATGGCAAGGCACCTCTAACCCAGCCACTGGGCAGCATGGGCCCCAAATGCTGAGTTAGAGGCATGTACTGGTGAAATACACAGTACCAGACTCAGCATGCTGAGCTAAAAAAAAATATTTTTCCTAATATGTCCAGTTTAAAAACTTGTCATTAAACACCAAAAATATTAAAGTCTAATTTATAACTAACGTTTGCATTGCTGCTGCAGGAAAGAACACAACAGCCATCTTGCCCATGCTCTGCTGAGTATGAGGGGAACGCAGCCAGAAACGGGGATGGCATTAAGTTTGGTTCACTAAAAACAGGACAGAGTATATCTGAAATGGATTTAGGTAGCGCAATTCTTGTAGGTTGTAATTATTGATTTTCCTTTTTTTTTTCCCCAAATAATAAGAATTAATAGGTGAAAAATGAACCTTAATCAGGCCTACAAGGCCTACAGAAATCTTTGGACCCACTTTCTCAAAAACCAGTGGGTCTTGCTCCCTGGGCAAGGCAAATGTTACCATTACCAGTAAGCTTGTGATACGTATAAAACACATACACATAAAGAAACTAGACGGGGATGTCAAACACACATCATAGAGAGCTTCCCTGGATTGTGTTTGAGCCATTTCCCACCCAGGCAACGCCGACCTTGGGAGCACAGTATCTGCTACTGGATAGAGCATATATGTGTGTTTAATCGATAGTGTGAGCCAGAGACAACAATCTTAATCTTGATAGATGCAGTTTGTAATAATAGGTTTAGAAGGCTTCCTGATTCCCTGATTGCTCTCTGAACTAAGCCAACTTCAACATTTAAGATTTAGAGGAACACAATCCCTGCAAAAAGGTCACAGACAGTGGAGCGAGCAGCCCTGTAAAAATGTGAAGAAGAGAAATCCATAATAGCACAGATTTACAGCATCTAACTAGAAATTACTCAATATTATTTGTGTGCTACAAAATTGAACTTAAACACATAAATTTTGCTGAAACAGGACTCAAAAAGGATTATGGGTAGCTGTCAGCAGGCAAGGTATCGAGTGTACTCGTGAAGTATGTCATTCACATGAAGTGTCACAGTCACAGAAAAGATATTAAAAAGGCATTCCATATCTGGTAGGGCATTCCATGGTCCGAGTTTAGCTGGTTATCCAGGTGTCTTCTTGTTGTGGGGGGCACAACAGGGTAAGATTTATCCACTTGCAACAGAGAAGTTCAGAGACAGCAAAGAGCAAGCATTAGCTTACTTCCAGCTGCTCTTCAGCCACAGAACAGGAAAGTCTGGTGAGGATAAATCACTCAACTGTGCTCAGGACAAATAAGTCACAACACCTGTGAGGATCTGGCTATGCCATCTTACTCTTGTTGACTGGTTTGCCTCCATTCATTATTGCAGACGCACTTGTGCTTTTACTTGGCATCACCCCGGGCTTCGGGACCGTTTCCCCAACATTATGCAAAGATGGTTCTCGGTACATGGCAACTTCCAATGGCTTGGGTAGAAAATGAGCTGCTGGTTTGGTTTTCTTTACTCTGTTTCCTTTCATAGCTTGCCCTTCCTTATTTAATCCCAAAAACCAGGCTCTACCAGATTCCTGTTGTCTGTACAGCATGGACAAGTAGATTACATAATAATTTTCAAAAACAGATTCTTTAAACTTGCATTCAGGTGTAAAAAGTTCTGATGGTTAGAGGTAACCTTCTCAAATGTTATACCAGAGAATATCAGAAAAATAATTCTATAAATTAGAATTTTTTTTTCTGAAGTGGTGAATTTTAATATTGTATAAAAAATCCAACTTGTTCCACAAGTACTTATGTCCCATGATTTTATGCATATATCCATATACATATATCAAGGTAAAGTCCAATACAAAAAACAGCATTTCCTATGGCCAGTGTTCTACAGAAGTAAGACTGTGCAAACTTTATCATATAGTCAAATGAGATTGCAACACTAAGGCAGGACGAGGCAGAAGCAAGTTGTGTCCACAGTATATTATAAAATACCTTGCATAGCTTATTCATTCTCACCTGGTAAATTCATCTTAGAATTCTGAAGGATTTCTTTTCCTAGATAAATTTATACAAGTTGGTGTCTACTTCTTGTCTTTGTTCTATGGCAAACCAGCTTTCTCAGTGCTGTTTTATTTCACAACATTATTGATTTAACAATAGCCTGAGCTTTGGGGGTCTGCACTGCTTTCATTTTAAGTGTTGATACAATGACTACAGATGTGTCGATGTCTAATCTTCATCTGTATCTCCGGCGATTTTCCAGAGCTTCCATTCTCTGTGTCATTTCTTCTAAGCACTGTGTTAATTTTCTTTCTTCTTCGTTTGCAAGGTTCTGGAACATTATAAGGTTTTCACGTTTGCATTGATCGTGTTAGAATGTGTTAACATTTGAGGAGAAGTTTTTCTTTTTTTCTAAAAAGAATCCTGTTGTAGCCTAGACAGTGAAATGGTATGACATCAGAAGACTTTAAAATTGCAGCTCTTTTTGGATCCCCCAAAGTGTATCCGCACTCTCCTTCAAACGGGCCTCTTCCTCAGGAGTCAGAGTCACCTTCACAACGTCTGAGATTCCATTCTGTCCCAAAATACACGGAACACTAAGGAAGACCAAGCAGACGTATTGGTACTTGAAAATACTGCCCATATCAGAAGTTTATATACCCATTAAAGTGCTGACATAGGCTTTGGTGCTCATGCAGCCATTCTGGAGACTTGTGTCCACAGTGAGGTGGATGGGGTTGGGGGCCTCCTGGCTGTAGTACTCATGGATCAGCACAGAGTGCTCTGTGATGTCATGGCCTGTAGTGTACCAGCCCAGGATAAGCTCATTTGGAGAAACTTTTTTATGCAGTTCATACATGTTCTTAGCAAATTCCATGTCAACAGCCACTTCATCTTCTGACTCATTGTGCGGCACTGAAAAGCAATTGGTGACCTCCACTGAGTGTTTGTTGACCGTTCCCAGCAGGGTCCCGATAACTTGGGCAGCACCCTCATTGCGTTGCTCGTAGCTGTCCACAATGGAGGCCAAAATGACTGGGTGCAACCTGACCACGCGACCGCCGGGAAAGGGCCCTGGGAGAAAGGGACCAGGCAGAGCGAGCACTGGGGTCTGCGCCGGAGCTTGCTCTGAGGCCGAGGTCTGGGCAGGAGCCCCAGTCGTAGCCGCTGCTGCCGCAGGGTCTGAGGATGAGGCTGGAGTCCCAGCAGAAGGCGGAGCTGCAGCTGGTGCTGGCGTTGGCACTGGGGCTGGGACTGAGGTTGGGGCCGAGACTGGGGCCGCCGCCAGGACTGGAGCTGGCGTGGCAGGAGGAGCACTTGCCGATTTTTTTTTTTTTTTTTCTTGCAGTGGCTGCATTCTGGAGTAAACTGCCTCCGTCCCTGCCAGGCATGGTGGCAACCTCACACCTTCCCTTTGCTGCATTTCTGTAACTGCTTTGAAAAAAATTCCTCTCTTCTTCCCTCATTGGAAACCACCACAACCAGCTCCTCAGAGTGTGCCACAGAGGTGTGGACAAAAATGGTACCTAATGTGTAAAGACCAACAATAGGCATTTGTGAGTGTGGAAACATGTGTCCTACTCATCAAAACACAGTGATCTGTTGCTTCCCATTTCTCCTAAAACATAGACTGACAGGTAATAAAAGATATACATTTTAAAAACATTTTTTGCAGCTTTTTAGTTGATTCATTAAACTTGCTTTATTCATCAATATTAAAGTCAGGAAGTAAAAAAGCATAATAGCCATGATAACACCCAAAATAGTTTTTAATGATGTTAACTATTTTTGAAGACTTCAATACCTAAAACTTACATATATATCTTCATATTCCCACCTCTAATACCTAAAAGGTAAAGTGCACAACCTCAAGAAGTGGTCCAAGAGAGAATTTGTGATGATGAGCTGATCTTAATCAAAAACACTAAGGCTCGTACATCCGCATTGATTATCTTACATGGGACAAATGATTTCATGTGTGATGAGATGGAGCGCTCTTTACATGATGCCCTTTGTGTAGTGAAGAGAGTTTTGTAGTCAAAATCTGTGGTTCCAGGTGGGGGTGCTGTAGAAGCAACCCTGTCTTTATACCTTGAAAACTATGCAGCCAGCATGGGGTCTAGGGAACAGCTTGCTATTGCAGAGTTTGCAAGATCACTTCTTGTTATTCCTAATACACTGGCAGTTAATGCTGCCCAGGACTCCACAGATCTGGTTGCAAAATTAAGAGCTTTTCACAATGAGGCTCAGCTTAACCCAGAACGTAAAAATCTAAAATGGATTGGTCTTGATTTGAGCAATGGTAAACCTCAAGACAACAAACAAGCAGCAGGGGTGTTTGAACCAACTATAGTTAAAGTTAAGAGTTTGAAATTTGCAACAGAAGCTGCAATTACCATTCTTCGAATTGATGATCTTCTTAAATTACATCCAGAAAGTAAAGATGATAAACATGGAAGTTATGAAGATGCTGTTCACTCTGGAGCCCTTAATAATTGATCTCCTTGTTTCTTTATTTATAACAATGTTAAATGCAGTCGTCTTGTAGCTTGAGTATCCATTAAAATACACCAAGCTGTAAACTTGGGTTTTTGTGATGTAGGAAATGGTTTCCATCTGTGCTTTGGTCCTCTGATTTCACATATTATAACCCTAGTACTTTATTAGTTTAAAAAGAAATTGAGGTGGTTCAAAGTTCATGCCCTCTGAACACACATTGCTATTCCATCCCACCGCCAATGCACAGGGCCGCAACACCACGACTTCCGCCCCTTCTCTCCAGCGCGTGTAACAGGGTCACAAGAATTCGACAGCCAGATGCTCCAAGAGGGTGGCCCAAGGCTACAGCCCCTCCTTGAATGTTGACCTAAGGGAGAGAAGAGACTTAGATTGTTTATTCTTCTGTGGACATAGTTTAAAATCCTAAACTTGTCCTTTTCCTCTTAATGTTGTATTAGCATGCTACACTTTCAAACTCAGATTTCCATTTTAACTGCTTAGGAATAAATTCACACCCTTGTGAAAATTAAAAAAAAAAAAAAAAAAAAAATTTTTTTTTTTTTTTTTTTTCAGGTTGGGCAGAGAGCCACCCAGGACATTCGCCCTCAGCAGCCCCTTCCTGGCTGTGGACTGGAGGGGATAGGGCTTGGGGCGGGGCACAGATGGTGCTTCCAGGCCAGGTGGGTTCAGACACGCCAGTGTCACCACAGACACACGTCCTAGGGCCAGGCTCCCCGGGCTCTGCAGCATTGTCTGCGCCAGCACAGGGCCAGGCATCTGGCTGGCTGCGTGGTCCTCTCTTGGTCCCTCTTGCAGCTTAATGGATGACAACGCACAGCAACAGGGCAGCGGCACCAGGAGGGGCTGACAGCAGACAGCAGGTCCTGGTGCTCCCTCCAGCCTTGCTAGGCAAAGCTGGCCCTGGGCCAGGCTGGGTGCAGGGCCAGGGCACCACAAGGAGGGAAGGTCAGCAGGGATTGTCAAAAACAGTCCCTCAAGTTGAGTCTCAAACTTTGAAACAGACAAAGCCTTCGCTGCATGGCAGAAGCAGCCCTGGAGTCTGTTAAAGGCAGATGGGCAGAGGCAGTGCCAGGGGCTGTAGGACTCTTGGAACTGGAGGCAGATCAAGGACCACAGGCTGTTGGCCAGCTCTGCCATGCTGAACCTGGGTGCCAGCACCATGCCCTGCCCCGGTAAAGTGGAAACTGTTGGCCTTGCTGCCCCAGCCCGCACAGTGGTGAGGGGCCAGGTTCCTCTCTGCATCTTGGCTTCCTGCCTCATAGGCTGGGTTCCCCTTGTGGCCTTGATGTTGGCTGGTGTAGCTGTTGAGGATGGGCCTGGGAGGCCAGAGCTGCAGCCCCACCCGGGGGGCAGGCAGGGGTTCCTGAGCTCAGCCAGCACATGGGTGGGGCACATCCACAGGGAGGGATTTGTCCCGAACCAGAGAGGTGTCTGGAGTGGAGAGAGGATTGGCAGAAAGAAGATGTGTTGGTTTTGATAGAAGAGAAGCTACAAATCAATTATTTTCAAAATCAGGAACTCCCCACCCCCTTTTATGCATGAGTCCCTTCTTCCTGTAAAAAAGTGGATGCCCTCTTCTTGATTCCATTTATGGCTCCACTGCCCAGATGGGAGGCTCCCAGAGGAGGCCCTGGGCATCAGAGCCTGCCCAACCCTGTTGTGCCTGGGCTGGGAAGGGACCCTTTCTCGGGAAAAGCAAAGTTCGGTGAGTGGCTTACAGACCCTGTGAAGTGAGGGTTGATTTTGTGATAAACATTTTTCTGTTTTTCTTTTTAAAATATAATTGCCCTTGAATGTGAGACCCTGGGAGGAGCCCCAGGCTGACTGAGATGTAGCCTTTGGGCCCTGCGGGAGCCGGCCCACACTGGAGGCAGGAGAGCTAGCAGCCCTGCCCAGGAAGTGCTTCTTTGGCTAGCTCTGGTTGTGTTTGGAGTTTGGCCTTGGGTGAGGCCCAAGCAAGGGGTCTGTGACTATGGCATGGCACGTGGCATGCGGGCAGCGTGCATGCAAGGGTGCAGGCATGTGAGATGACATTGGCAGCAGACAAAAATAAAGAACCCTGGATGAAGCTTAAGAAGAGATAGAGAGAATACATGAACATGGTCCTTGTACTAACCCACAGGTTACAAACTTGGTTGTGCTGTAGATTTGTAGAAAATTTCGTTGTGAAAGAATGGCACTGTTAGGCAGCTGGGGGCTCCCCGGGCTGGTGGGACTCCTCTGGTATACAAAATACACCATTTCTTTTCTTTTCTTTTCTTTTCCTGATGTGAATGTTAAGCAGAAGGGAGAGTCCTTACTCCCTTCCAACCTCTGCTCCAGTTCAAAACCCAGAAACCAGAACACAGATATGATTGTAGGATTTTATCATCTGTGTAGCAGGGGGTGTATGTATATGTGTTTCTAGAGTGAGATTTGTGTTTTCTACCCTTTCCCTCTCTGGCCAGTGGGCTGGAGCTGGGAGAGGTGCTGATCTAACAGTGCCAACAAGTGCTCCTTAAGCCTGCAAGGCTCAGGCCTGTGGGGCTGGTGCTCACCTTTGACAGCTGAATGTTTCTAAAGAACTGCTGCCCCAGGGGGAGGACAGGAGCAGCAGAACAGGGAATGCCAGACACACGCTGGCTGCTGCTGGAAGGCAGAGTGGGGCTTCCTTTGTCTGTCTGAGGAGAGAGGCAGGTGTCACCAGTTCCAGCCGAAGCCTCCTCACGGGCCCTGTCAATTTTTGTACAAGTCTTGTAATTATTGAATCAAGTTGTTTTAGTGTAATAAAAACGCTTGTGAGAAAAAAAAAGTATTTAAAATGTATGTTATATATTAAATTAATATATCTCTGGCTTCTTTGGCCCTGGGAGCCAAAAGGGCAGTGAGGAGAAGGCTTAGCAAGAGGCCTGGTGCAGGGGAAGTCAGGTCCCTCAGGAGCCCCTCCTCCCCCAGAGGAAGGAGGAAGAGGTCTAGAGAGTCTGCTGGAGAGTCTCTTCAGTTCCTCAACAATGACACTGCAGGAGGGTGCAGGCCACAGATTACTCCTTGCCCTTCTCAGGGGTACTGGGCTCCCAGGGCCACTTGGTAATCCCCAGGGGTTCAGTCTCAGGGTCCAGCTGTGGCTCCCCCAAACGTCCCTCACCCTCCATGTCCAGCTCCTCAAAAGAAGAGCCGCTGGCACCTGACTCACTGTAACTGTTCTCACTGCGGGTGTCACCATCATCCCAGCCACCGGTGCTCACCCCCGGTGACAGTGTCGCAACTGAAGTCTCCCGGCTGCCAGGGCTCACCTCCAAGCTCACGGAACTCGTGTCACCCATCGTGTCAGCTCCTGTGCCATCCACCTGGGCATCAACAGCCTCTGCAAGCCCCCGCCATTTCCGCTCTGTCTACATCAGCTGAGGGTGTTTTTAAATATTAATTTAAATTATAAAAAGTATATTTTATCCTCTGATAAAACACAGTAAAAGAGAAGGTATTGAGAGGCAGACACCCAGGCAGCCAAGCAGAGTGGATCTGTCCTGGGGACCAACAGCCTGAGGAAGAAGCCAGAACCTTTCCTCCTGCACCCACTGCAGCCCAGTTTCTCTGACCCCATCCTGTTCTCTGGAAGCCTGAGGATGAATCTCAACCCTTTCAACAACTACTCAGACGAGGAGATTTGGAAGGTCCTGGAGCTGGCTCACCTCAAGTCTTTCATGGCCAGCCTGTAACTTGGGTTATCCCACGAAGTAACAGAGGCCGGTGGCAACCTGAGCATAGGCCAGAGGCAGCTGCTGTGCCTGGGTGGGGCTCTGCTTCGGAAATCCAAGATCCTGATCCTGGATGAGGCCACTGCTGCGGTGGATCTAGAGACAGATAACCTCATTCAGACGACCATCCAAAACGAGTTCACCCACTGCACAGTGATCACCATTGCCCACAGGCTGCACACCATCATGGGACAGGGACAAGGTAATGGTCCTAGACAATGGGAAGATTGTAGAGTATGGCAGCCCTGAAGAACTGCTGCAAACCCCTGGACCCTTTTATTTGATGGCTAAGGAAGCTGGCACTGAGAATGTGAACAGCACAGAATTTTAGCAGAAGGCCGCAGGGGCTAGAAAAGGACTATAAGAATAATTTCTTGTTTTATTTTTTGTAAAATACAGAATACATACAAAAGTATATATAAAATGTACATTTTAAGAAGGATAAGTGAACACCCATGAACCTACTACCTAGATTAATAAATATCACCAGATGCCTGAGAAAACACTCGATTATCTACCTCAGTCATACTTCCTTGCTACGCACCTTCCCAGGGACAACCACTGTCCTGAATTTCATGATAATTGTTCCCTTTCCTTTCATTTCTGTTTTATCACCTTTGGAAGTACATATCTTTAAACAACGTGTGCCCTTTTTTACTTATGTAAATAGACCGACTCATCCACATCTTCTATGACTTGATTCTTTTGTTCAATATTATATTTGAGTTTTATCCATTAAAAAAAAAAAAAAGATTGCCCAGGTTCTCAGAAATTTGCCCGTTACACGTGATAAGAAGAAGCTGAAGTCATTTTTTAACGAGTATGGACAAATAGAATCTGTACAATTTCGTTCTCTGATTCCAGCAGAGGGAACTCTGTCCAAAAAGTTGGCAGCAATAAAACGTAAAATTCATCCTGATCAGAAAAATATTAATGCCTATGTTGTGTTTAAGGATGAGAGTGCTGCCACACAAGCATTGAAAAGAAATGGGGCCCAAACTGCAGATGGATTTCGTATTAGAGTTGATCTCGCATCTGAGACCTCATCTAGAGACAAGAGATCAGTTTTTGTAGGGAATCTCCCTTACAAAGTTGAAGAATCTGCTGTTGAGAAGCACTTCCTGGACTGTGGAAGTATCATGGATGTGAGGATTGTGAGAGACCAAGTTACAGGCATTGGCAAGGGGTTTGGCTGTGTGCTCTTTGAGAATACAGATTCTGTTCACCTTGCTCTGAAATTAAATAATTCTGAACTAATGGGAAGAAAACTCAGAGTCATGCGTTCTGTTGATAAAGAAAAGTTAAAACAACAAAATTCAGATCCGCGATTAAAGAATGTCGGTAAACCTAAGAAGGGACTTAATTTTACTTCTAAAAATGCAGAAGGACATTCTAAAAGCTTATTTATGGGAGAGAAAGCTGTTCTCATTAAAAAGAAGAAGAAAGGACAGGAAAAAAGTAGATGCACTAAGAAACAGAGGAAACAGAAATAACCAGGAGCCACTTTTTCTTTTCCTGCTGAGTTGCTAATAAAAATGCTATTATCTCCTTAAAAAAAAATGGAGCCTCAATTTACCTGTGCCAGCTGATTGTGGTGGCTGAAATTCTGAGTGATAAGATTCTCTGCCATCCCCTCTTCTCCTCCAATGAAAAAGTCTGTTTTGCATCGAAGGAAACTGAAGAAGGTGTTCACAAGCTCCTGCACACCTCCCTCGTGCTGCTGAGCCATAGCCAGCAACATGCCGTCGAACTGCTCCTGCGGCGGCAGAAGAATAAATAAAAACCTTTGACTCAGAAAAAAAAATGAGCCACATTTTTGTGTGAGCCACAAATATTTATAAATTTATATGTATATATAAAAAATAAAAAATATTTTTTGTATAAAACCAGCATATTCTTTATTTTGCATACTTTAATTTCAGAACAAAATGAACAAACAAAATAAAAAACCACAATACACAACATCCAATCCTGCTGTCAGAGTAGGGAAAGAATGGGGGCTTGACACCTTTGTTTCCTGCCTTCAACCGAAGGACAGGACAGAAAAACACCAGACATCAGCAGGGGGAGCAAGGTGGGAGAGGGGCACTCAAGGCTGCAGGGGGAGCCATGGGGACGCTATACAAGGGCAGTTTTCCAACTATAAACTCCTAATCTACTTCTTCCATGCGAGACGCATCCTCATCACCCTCAAGAGGAGGGATCTCATCAGGAACTGCAGCACTGGGTTCCTCTGCTGCCACATCATCTTCATCGATACCTAGACCTAACTTGATCATGCGGTAGATGCGGTTGGAGTGGGTCTGGGGATCCTCAAGGGAAAAGCCAGAAAAGAGCAGGGCGGTTTCAAACAGCAGCACCACAAGGTCCTTAACTGCCTTGTCATTCTTGTCTGCCTCAGCCTTCTGCCGCAGCATCTCCACATAGGGTGGTCAGGGTTTATCTCCAGGTGCTTTTTGGCCATCATGTAGCCCATGGTGGAGTTGTCCCGAACTGCCTGGGCTTTCATGATCTGCTCCATATTGGCTGTCCAGCCGTAGGTGCTGGTCACAATGCAGCAGGGTGAAGACACAAGCCTATTGGAGATTGTCACCTTCTCAACCTTCTTATCTAAGATTTCTTTCATGAGATTGCCGAGGTTCTCAAACTTTGCCTTGCTCTCTTCCATTTTCTTCTTCTCCTCCTCATCCTCTGGTAGCTCCAGACCCTCCTTGGTAACTGAAACCAGGCTCTTCCCATCAAACTCCTTTAGCTGCTGCACACAGTATTCGTCAATGGGCTCAGTCATATATACCACCTCGAAGCCCCGCTTCCGCACTCGCTCCACAAAAGCCGAGTTGGCCACCTGCTCTTTGCTCTCACCAGTGATGTAATAGATGGACTTCTGTGTCTCCTTCATGCCAGAAACATACTCTGACAGAGATGTCATCTCATCTTCAGACTGGGAAGTGTGATAGCGCAGCAGCTCAGACAGGCGGTGTCGGTTAGTGGAATCCTCGTGAATTCCAAGCTTGAGATTTTTAGAGAATGCCTCATAGAATTTCTTGTAATTCTCCTTGTCTTCTGCCAGCTCAGAGAAGAGCTGAGGGTACTTCTTAACAATGTTTTTGCAAATGACTTTCAAGATTTTGCTCTGCTGGAGCATTTCTTGGGAGATGTTCAGAGGCAAATCCTCAGAGTCAACCACACCACGGATAAAGTTGAGATGCTCTGGTATCAACTCATCACAGCTGTCCATGATGAATACACGACGGACATAGAGTTTGATGTTGTTCTTTTTCTTCTTGTTCTCAAAAAGGTCAAAGGGAGCCAGACGAGGAATGTGAATAGCAATGCCCTGAATTCCAACTGATCTTCTACAGAAAAGTGCTTGACTGCCAAGTGGTCTTCCCAGTCATTGGTGAGGCTTTTGTAGAATTCTCCATACTCCTCTTGAGTGATGTCATCAGGGTTTCTAGTCCAAATAGGCTTGGTCTTGTTACTTAAAAAAATACTCCCATCCCTGGGCCGTGTCCCCTCCATTGAGTGCCCAGAGCTGGGGGGAGGCGGGCAGGGGCAGGGAGGGAGTCACAGTCAGTGCCCGGGAACCTGGAAGCTGTGCTGTTCTGCGCCTCTGGGCCTCACGGCGGACAGAGGAGTACTATGTTATACATGTTTTCATATTTCTGCATATCTTCTTCATGATTCTGTCTGTTGGCCATTTGGGCTGGGGCACATTACCCATTAATTAAATATATGCCCATATCTTTTTTTTTTTTTTAAGAATTGGATTTTATAATATATTAAATTTGTATAAATAATTTTAAATATACATTCAAAAATATATGCCCATATCTTCTTCATGATTCTGTCTATTGGCCATTTGGGCTGGGGCACATTAGCTTAAAAAATGGACCTGGGGTCCCAGTGGTTGGGGCGCCATCCTGCTTGTGAATTGCAACCCTGCTGATGCAGGCCAGCAACTTGAGGACAAGACCAACAGAGTGATCTTTTCAGAGGAAATAAAGAATCTGTCTCAGATGACACTGAAGGTCCAAGGCCCCAGCTGCCTCTTAAAGAAATATCGGCTGGTCCTTCACACCTCCGAGGAAGAGTCAAAGAAGGCAAGAGTCTACTGGCCCCGAAAAGGCAACTCCAGTACCTTTGAGTTGGTGCTGGGGCCCAGCCAGCATGCCTACACCTTGGCCCTCCTCAGGGACCACTTGAAAGAGACCTTCTACCTCGAAGCTATGGTGTTTCCGTCCGCTGAATTCTCAGGCCTGATCACCTACTCTGTATCCCTGGTGGAGGAGTCTCAAGACCCGTTAATTCCAGAGACTCTGCTGTACAAAGACACGGTGGTGTTTCAGGTGGCTCCCTGCATCTTCATTCCCTGCACCCAGGTGCCTCTGTGCAGGGAGCTGCAGCTGCAGGGTTTTGTGGACACAGTGACGGAGCTGAGTGAGAAGAGCAACAGCCAGGTGGCCTCTGTCTACAAGGACCCCGGCCGACTGGGCAGGTGGCTCCAGGATGAGATGGTCTTCTGCTACACCCAGGCACGCCACAAGACCACATCCTTGATCCTCGACACGCCTCGAGCCCCCAAACTCGATGAGTTCCCCATGAAATACTCACTGAGCCCCAGTATTGGCTACATGACCCACGACACTGAGGACCATAAAGTGGCCAGCATGGATTCCATCGGGAATGTGATGATGTCCCCACCTGTCAAGGTCCAAGGGAAAGAATACCCCCTGGGCAGAGTCCTCATTGGCAGCAGCTTTTACCCCAGCATGGAGGGCCGGGCCATGAGTAAGACCCTCCGAGACTTCCTCTATGCCCAGCAGGTGCAAGCACCGGTGGAGCTCTACTCCGATTGGCTAATGACCAGCCACCTGGATGAGTTCATGTGTTTCATCCCCACAGATGAGAAGAGTGAGGGCAAAAAGGGCTTCCAGCTGCTCCTGGCCAGCCCTGGCACCTGCTACAAACTCTTCCAAGAGAAACAGAAGGAAGGCTATGGTGATGCTTTTCTGTTTGATGGAGTTAGAGCAGATCAGCTCCTGTGTAACAGAAGGGAAGCCAAAACCATCGACCAACTTTTGGCTGATGAAAGCCTGAGGAAGCAGAATTAATACGTGGAGAAGTGTATTCACCTGAACCATGACATCCTGAAGACAGAGCTGGGCCTGGTGGAACAGGACATCATCAAGATTCCCCAGCTGTTCTGCTTGGAGAAGCTGACCAATGTCCCCTCTGATCAGCAGCCCAAGAGGCTCTTCACAAGGCCATACTTCCCTAACCTGCTGCAGATGATTGTGACGGGCAAGAACCTGGGGATCCCCAAGCCTTTTGGGCCCCAAATCATGGGTACCTGCTGCCTGGAAGAAAAGATGCGCTGCTTGCTGGAGCCCCTGGGCTTCAAGTGCACCTTCATCAGTGACTTCTACTGCTACCTGGCAGATGTGGGAGACATCTGTGCCTGCGCCACTGTCCACTGGGTGCCCTTTGCCTTCAAATGGTGGAAGATGGTGCCTTAGACCCAGGCCCTGGAGTTGCCAGCTCTGCCCCAGCATGGATGGCCCATGTCACCATGCAGCAGCAAGACTCCTTGCCAAGTAGAGGAGGCTGGAGAGTCGAGGCAACACAACCCTTTCCTCCTTGTCCAACCTGACCCTTGGACCCCATAGGATGGCAAATGCCGCCAGCTTGAACCCCTGTGGGGAAAAGATGGAAAAGTTTTCAGCCAATAGGCATTTACTAGATAGGCAATAAAGCACTGGCGGTCGTGAAAAAAAAAAAAAAATATATATATATATACACACACACACACACACACACACACACACACACATACACGGAAAATATGGAGAAATATATATATATATATTTATTTATTTATATCTATATAAATTGAGAGAGCCTGAATTTTTTTTTCCCCAGAGTCCCTGGGCCAGAGCTGTCCCCTGCAGGGAGAGGGTTACCGTGGTAGTGTGTGGCTGGTGTCAATACCCAAGCGTGGCTTTGTCTCCGTAGCTACACAGAGTGACATCTGCCAGCTGCCATTAAACATCTGCCTGCTTGAAGCCTCTGCTGAGGTCATGAAAGGGATGGCTAGGTGAGCCCCATCAGGCACAGGATGGGGTGCAGGTGCAGGTCTAGGCAGCCCCCTCTCCTTCAGAGGACAGGAGAGACGCCCCAGCATGGCACCACCCCACCCCTCACTGTGTCCTCTGCCAGCTCCATTTCACCATCCCTCAACCTCATCGGCCTGCCATGATGAAGGTGCCTATCCTCAGTGTGGGTGACAATGGCCCCCCCTACACGATGAAATAACAGCCCGGGCCCCCTGTTGTCATCTGCCCCGGTGGTGAGAGCAGCAACCATGCCCATCTCATCCATGCTGCAGGGACCTGTCAACCTCACACCCCATGCACGGCGCCTTCTCAGCAGCTTCGCTCCTGACTGCAACAAATTGAAAACAACCTAAACGTCCTTTAATAGGGCACTGGATAAATCAAATGTGGCGGCTCCTTCTGACGGGTGGCGTGGCGACGCAGGACCTGCGTAGCT